TCTCTGCATGCTGGTTTAGATTTTTAGCAGTAGTATATGGTAGTCTAACTATATATAGTAGTAAATGGTAGGTAACTCACCGCAACAAAACTAGACCCGATAGAAAAAAACCGGTGCCATATTTGAAATCAGTGACTTCAATTTACCCAGAAACAGGTTTCAAAATGTATGCAACTGACAAAAAGTTGAATTTTGTTCCCCAGTGTAATAGTAGGGGATAATGAGAAAATGATAACAGATACTAGTAATGGAGAAAGAGCATGATAATTGACCCATAAATTAAAAGTATAAAGTTCTACCAGGGGTGGGGAAACTGTGGTGGGTTCAACGAGGGTCAGAGGGTGACCTGGACAGTAGCTGAGTTTACTGTAGTTTTCTCTCTTTTAATGGGAGAATCAGGGGAATATAAAATTGATCAGAAGAATTGGATGAAATTGAGATATATATAAAGCAAAATTTGCCAATACAGCTACTCCTCGACTTACGACCGCCTCAGTCGTACCAAAATTTTGTTAAATTACGTATTTTCGAGTCCCAACGTCAGTGATTGCGCTGTGTACTGACAAAATTTTCGTTTGTAATTCACTTTAAAATGGCTGGCAAGGTTAAAAGTGAGAGTTTTGTGGTGCTGAGAAGAAAAAGAGACACCCATTTTAGATTTTCTATGTACTATTTAAGCATTTTCGACTTACGATCTGGATTTGGGTCCCTAACTCCGTCGTAAGTTGGGGAGCAGCTGTACAGTAAAAATAAATTCTTGCTCCAGCACTTCGGTATATGACTGAAAACCCCGCTTTTATGAAAATTTTCACTGCATTTTTCGTAGCGTCTAAGAACATCCTGTGCTGAACATGGACAGTAAGAAATGTACTGTACTTTAGTGTAGGCTAGTGTACGGTAATTTTTAGTGCTTATATATAAATGTACTGCATGTATACAGCAAATATGTCATATGAAATTGGTGGTGATGATGAGGCAGATGATCCAACTGCTATACCATCATCCTCTCAGTAACCCCATTTACCACCATCCTGCCACACCATCACCCTACAGTAGAATATACAGTATACAGTACCAATATGGATTAAATAAACTTTATACTGTACTGTACTGCTTTATTAGTGTTGTTATGATTAATACATATGCTTAGAAGTATTGCTTCCCACAAATAATTGCTTAATCAAAAATGTGTATTTTTATGTTTGGCGGACTTTTCTGTCGCAGCAATGTATCTCCCTTTATATAAGGGTAGTCAATGGGAAAGATGGCTTTAATCTATGAAAGACTTTTCAGGAACTTATCCCTTTCATAAACTGAAGCACTCCTGTACACTTTTATAAGACTAACTTATAGAAGTGGAACTGCATTGGGATGATAATCCTGGGTAGCGGTCATACCCACTAAATCTACATAGATTATTAACACTGAAAATAATAGGTGGCACCGAAGAACTCTTATAATTTCAATCTGGCTCTCCGACCTCAAGTATGCCCACCCCTGGTTTATACCAAAATATGAATTTAGTGCAGTACATATATAATTATCAGTATGTGTGTGACCAAGTACAGTAGCGATATGCTAAAAATAGCACCTTATGGCTTGAGATACATGACACAGTAGATGACAGTTGCTTTTTGGCCATCTGAGAATCCAGTACATACAGTATTGGCCCTTATCCTTTGTAATATAATTACTGTATCTTATATATTATAAAGACAATAAAATTTTTGTATCACTAAATAAACTTGAATTTTGTAGGTAACCATAAAATTCTTCCTTTAAGTTTAAAAAATTTGGAAAACATACAGAAGCAGTTCTACTGTATTTGAGTTTTCAACTGCAAACTTTTCTATACTGTACATAGTTATTCTTTAGTGGATAGGATACATATCTTCTTGGAGGCATGTTGCGGACAGTTTTTATGTCATATATCAGTAAGCATCCAGAACTGGAATAGTTAAAGAGCCATAAGTAGTGTTTACAGTTCATTGTTTCTCACAAGCCATGTCTAGTGACTCGCAAACATGCTCCCAAATGTTGCCAACGTACGAAGTTGCCGTATGCGTTATATTGCTACGTAAAAAAAAATTTATATCACACATTATTAATACCTGAGCAGTATATGTAAAATGACTCCTCATCACCGGCTGCCATCAGGTAATCAGGGCTGACCCATGCAAGTGTAGAAAATGACTAAAACATTGATGATGATGATGATGATGATGATGATTACAGTTGCAGACAGAATTACCTGAATACTTGGCAATAATTAGCATCTACTTCTGGGTCATATATATGGTTGGTTTATATCTAATGATGCTGCTTTTCGTTCACATATGTCAGAAAAAAAAAATCAATACAAAGAAAACACTATACTCGGTTGAAATGCCAATCTCCCTAACCTAAGTACTTTCATGCTATATTCTGCCATGTGTCCATGAAATCTTGTACTGCAACTGTAGTACTGTACATAAACTCCATTATGTAAATCACAACTTGCTTGGATATCTAAATATCATAAAGTTACCACCACAAAATGACATTTTGGTAGTATTACATACTATTGTTCTCGCACACAAACATTTCAACAATATATTTTCATGTATCAGAATTTTATATGTTTATACAGTAGCTTCAAAAAGGTAAAAAAGTATCTGAAGGTTCAACAAGCCATCCTCATACGGTACCTATATGTTTAAAGTACATAAAATTGGGATAATATAAGACTGATGGTTACAGCCTACAACTATTTGCTTCAATACATTAACATATTTTGTCACTCATAAAAGCAATGCCCACCCACCCCCACCCCTGATGAGAGCTCCTGTAACTGGTGGCAGATCAAATCTGGTAACAAACTACTGTACCTGAAGTAGGGGGTGGGGGTGGTGTTGGGGGTGAGGGGTGGTGTTGGGGATGAGGGATGGTGGATCACACTGCTTTCTGCATAAACCACTGTCTCGTTTCACGCACAACTAATACAAAGTGAATATAAAAGCATAATTATGTTACCTTAACGCATTATATTCTAAGATCCTATTATCATCACTACATTGACCTTGTCATTATAGTGACGCTGCAAAAAGGAGAGTTCATTCGTATACAGTACTTACTCGGCCATGGTTTGGATGAGTGTGTCGGAGAGAGATCTTTTCTAGTTGAGGAGGGCAGAAATTTCCAAGGAGGCAGTATGGTCTTAAACATTGTGAGGTAAGGATACCCTGCTATCTTCACCTAGTATTATTTGTGAACGAATATGAAAAGACCCGAGGCAGTGGTTCATGTAGATGGAAGTGATCCACGTCAGGTACACTATTACCAGAACATAGGCCATGAGTTCCAAGACCTCTCTCCCAGGGGCCCGTTTCTTTTACGAGTGACTGTACATGTACTGTACTGTGAAGAGTTATACACTTATCCACCTATCATACAAATAAATCTAAATATTTTCAAGATAAAAATAACAGTAATTTTTATGAAGATAATATCAGTAAATGATTCAACATTTTATTTTACCATCAAATACCGTGGGTAGGATTGATTCTCTGGTCCCCTGAATTTCAACACCAACCAACCCAAGCTCAGTATCTTATTTTAAGTCATACCCTCACTTTTGGTGTAAACAGGTGCGGCTTATAATCGTGCAAATATGGTATTGTTTAAGGGACCTCAACACTGGAAGAAATACTGTATTAATTTGAAGGACCTATCAGGAAAGAGAGATGCTAAAATAGTATTAATGAGCACTGAACTGTGTGTGCTCACAGACACAGGTGGAAAAGAAAAGGTGAGTAAATTAAAGTGATAGGATTATACTTGGGTGAAGAGTAAGAAAGTAGATAAAGATTTACAGGAATTTTAGAATTTGGAGAATATTCTCTGTAAATTAACCTTCTGTGAACCAAGAAAATGACCTGTAAGACAGAGATAAAGATGTACTTATTAAAGTTATCTTGTTATTATAATTTTAAGTTAAGAAAATTTTGGGAAATGTAATCCAATAATACTTTTGATTATAGAAGGATTGTCCATAAAAATTAAAGTTCTGGTCATTCAAGGGGTGATGCTGTCATACTACTTATTTTCATTCTGAATACTCTTCATTCTTTGAACATACCGAATTATTTTTCTTTGCATAAAGAACAGCTGGCCACTGCTTCTTTTATGTGATGTCTAATGCAAAAAGCAAATGTATTCAACAAAGATATTTACAATAACAATGGGGTTCTGTGAAAGACACACACAAACATCATGCCTAAAAGATAAACAACACTATACAGAATATGGAAGAAAAACAGTGTTTGAAGAGAGTGGATCCATTACCCGGAATATATTTCCAAGGCTGCACATTACAATGTACACTTTTATGATGTTCTGGACTTGCAAGAAATTGCTTTCGGCTCACATACATTCTGAAGCTATGCTACTATAATAAATCCAAAAAACCTAATAAGAAAATTACATTATAAATTTGAGTGTTATATTTAGATTACTGAAGGTTTAAGTCTGATACATTAATTCTAAATATATGTAACTCAAAAATCTTATTCCCTATTTCAAATGATTTGACAAAATTAAACAGCAACCAAAACAATTTTCTATATATACTGTATGTACAAAAATATGTTTGGTGTGCAATTTTTTAGTTTTGCATTTATCTTTATAAATATCTATACACACAATTACCTTCTATGTCAACATTAAGGTAAAAAAACACAATCTATTTAAATGAGAAAACAAGAGAATTCCTACCATGTTAAATAAATGTATGTAATATTACAAAATATCAAACATGCAATTGTAAAACTATCAATACATACAGGCAGTCCCCAACTTACGACGGGGTTAGGGACCCAAATCCAGGTCGTAAATCGAAAATGCGAAAATAATACATAGAAAATCTAAAATGGGTGTCTTTTTTTCTTCTCAGCACCATAAAACTCTCACTTTTAAGCTTGCCAGCCATTTTAAAGGGAATTACAAATGAAAATTTTGTCAGTACACAGCGTAATCACTAATGTCGGGACTATAAACTACGTAATTTGAAGAAAAAAATTGGTACGACTGCGGCGGTCGTATGTCCGGGTGGTCGTAAGTTGAGTAGGTCGTAAGTCAAGGATTACCTGTACTTCAATAAAAGCAAAAATTTCTTATCCAGCCATGTATGGTCCAGTTTTAAATACATTTTAATTTCTTTTAATTTCTCTAAAGTTATTCAATGTGACACACTAAGGAGTCATCTTTCTAATTTCCCAAAATCTGAGAATTACGGAGATTTGAAAGTTCATGAAGTAACGATGACTGTGCCCTTCAAACCTGTATACATAACTTTCGCTACTTAGATGATCAGCAGATATTATAATTGGTAATGAATTATCACACTGTAAGTAACATCACATGATCTAAATTAATGGTACAATTAAAAAAAGTGAGAAAGTTTTCTAAACCATTTATAAATTAGATATGAATAAGTAAAATGTGATTGAGCGACTGTTAAAATAGTGGACTCTTTTAAAAAATATTACTATTTTGTGATTATGAATCTCCTAATTATTAGTTCAGTTACCATTACAAATTCCCAAAATATTTAGAATTAAAAGTCATGTACAGTATTACTTTTAATAATACTGGTTTTCAGGACTACCAACCATTAATCTTTTGGGGCACAAATTTCTTTCTAAAAGTGTTTTTTATGGTAAATTCATTTATTCTTTCCTTATTGAACACAGGTCATGGACATGAATTCCAAAAAGCCACCACTAGAACACTAGCATAGTAAAATTATCATTATATTAAAATCAAATATATAAATGTCAAACTAGAGAGTAGTTCCAATTAGTCAGTTGACCTTGGTACACGTAGTGACTTTTATGGACTCAGGCCAAGACATAAAGAAAGAAAGCTTCTTAACATAAGAAGTGTCCTAAACTATATTGCTAATCTCTTGCCTCAGCCTTGTGCTTTGGGGGTTTGAATCCTTTAAACTTCTTCGCAGACTTTCCTTTCTGGAAATCTTTCCAGCTATTAACACGGTTTACTCTTGATTCCTGGAAAAAATATACAAAACATTAAATATTTCAAACAAAGGTGTCTTCAGAAATTAATGAGTCCCTTTCTTCCAATTTAGGAATTACTCTTATTTTGATGTGCAAACATTAGCTCATCACATAACCATACAATTTCTAACTGGTTTAGAACTTCACAAGTCACTCACTGAGGACCCAAAGGTTATTAATAAAAGACTGAATTACAAAGTTACACTCTATGATGAAACAAAGGATGTAAGCAGGATTTAAATTGGTTGAAATTTAAATGGTTGGAAAACACCATTCAACTGCTTAGTAAACTTGGATAGTGTGCCTGCCATTAAACTATTGGCCCACTTTACAGAGCACAGAGAGTGGTGTCGAATAAACGAGTTTCTCACTTGCTTTTCTTATCACCAAATGGGATTTTATATTTCAATCATTCATTTTGAAAAAGAAATATTCTTGCAGTAAAAACAAGACTATACGAGATGGCACATTTCACCCCATTTGCACTATTACCACTGGAACGAGAAATACTATAATCTTGACACTATTTCACTGTTTGCTCTAGTTTTTATTTTATGAATCAATGAAGGGTTCCTATACATAGTCTCCATACCAAATATTAAGAGTTTATATTAGCAGTTTCTGAAATACAAAGGCTTATGCTAGGTGCAATATTTTTTTTTTGACTGATTGACCTTTGACCTCTCTTGGTCAAATTTTGTATGTGGTACCCTAAGGGTCTCCACATTTAATTCCTATAACAGATTTAATTTGATACACATACATGCAAATATGTGTTTGACACCCAGGTCATTTTTGTCAAAAAACAAAAATCAAATGCAACAAGTTCTTTCCATCTACAATTCTTTGTTCAAGAGTCATCATGAAAGTTAAAAAAATGTACTTTTTGACGACCATGACCTTGATCTTCCCCAAAATTTTAATGCTTACAATACTGTATACCCAACATAGTACAATCACAATGTTTGGTCAGAGATGACTGAGATATGCTTCATCTTATTATTGGCAATGGTGTGGAAACAGACAGTCATTCCAACACCTCACAAACTACCTTTGAGGGCAAGGTAAAATTCCTTATTATGTGAGCATTTATTACTACTAGATTTAAAAATTTCAGTACTGAATAATAGTGAGTGATTGTAGAATGTCATAAGATGGTGTAGACTTAGCTGAAAGCTGCTGCAGATAGTAACAAATACAGACACCAGAGACAAATTAGAAATTCAATTACAGTATAGTCTTCATTTACGCGGTCAATTGAACCCGTGGAGGTCCGCGTAAAAGAAATAACAGAACATATGGGATTAATTGAAATAGAGACTGGGCCGACCCCCAAACTACACTTTTTCCGACACAACACGTAAGTTGTAGTAAAAATAACATCTTAATTTTATGATGGTATGCACACACAACTAATATTTAAGAGAAATATCAATAAAATTATGTTTTTTAACACTTACGTTAGTAGAAAAGATGGCTGGGCACACGGGGATGGGGGGTTGGTTCTGAGGCAGAGGGCAGATTATTGGCCCTCACCAGTATCACTTGTATCACTATCCACCACAGAGGCTTGCAGGGCCTCTTTGTCAAACCCCTCAAAGCCCATATCCTCACTATCACTATCACTGACTTGGGCCAGCTGTGGTGGGTGGCGGGTGAAAACCTCGAGAATGTTTTGTTGACCGGGAGACCTTGTGCGCACCCTGCCTGCGCCACTTCCCGCGTAAATGATGGAATGAACCGTGTAAATAAAAATTGTCAGTCTGGCAAGGTGCCGCGTAAACCAAATCCGCGTAAATCGAGACTATACTGTACTGTATTAAATTGTTCTGCTTGGCAATAAAAGTCATATCTGGTAAAATGAAGTTAAATGAGAAATTTTCACCCATAAATACATTAATTCAATAACATTGAGTATATCTGCCTTACCTCAAAATTCTTTTGCCATTCCTTTTCTGCCTTTTTCTGTTCTTCCTCTTCTATCTCTAGATCTCTTTTTCTTTTTCTTTCTTCTTGGTCACGTGTTTCTTGTTGCCGACGTTTTCGCTCCATATCAGCAAAAAGTTTCATTGTTTGAACATAAACGGCACGCTTCAATTTTTCAGGATCATCCTCATCAACACGTGCATCTTTGCCCTCACGTTTCAGCTGTTTCTTGCGTTCTTCAATCTGTAGATAAAGGCTATTGATGGCAAGTAGTATCACAAGGCAATTACTGTACATACACAAAAGCTATTATCCCTACTATTATGTGTGTGTGGAACACTTTCTTTTAACATATTACTGAATTTTCATACATAATACATTTTCAAACTGCATACAGGTAGGTCAATCACCCACCAATTACCGGTATCTATAAATTTCAACACAAATATCCAACGTGACAACTACAGTATAGTCTAATGCAAGTTCTATTGTTGGTGTTCACTTAATAAATTCTTTCGAAAAGAAGTTACAATACAGGTGTAAGTGAAGAAAGTTAAGAGATAGTGGCCATATTGAGAATAACATTTCCTTTCGGCTTCTTATTTGTGATCCTGAGAGCCGAGTCCTTCCATCGACCACCAACCTACTGCTTAGGGAAAATATTGTTTCACAAGAGCAGCAAGAACAACATGCCTTACAAACTGGAATTCAATGTGAAATAATCCAATGATAAGAGAAAGTATAAATCTCACTGAGCAAATGAAATATGGTAAGAGCTATAAAACACCATAATTTACCAAGAAATATACAAAAAAGAGATTTCTGTGAATGTTATACAGTAATTTCATTATAGCTTCCAGAGCAAATGCAAATTTTTTTTGTGTTGTTAAAATAAATGCAAAGAAATCTTTGCTAAGAGGAATGATTAACTATGATCTGCAGGTGACAAGATGGTAATTATGGAAACACTAAAAAGAACACGATCTTAGCAACCTTGCCTGGTCCTGAGATTGAATATATTTTTCAAAGCTCCTGAATGTATAGCAGTGTCCCTAAAACACTGTGGCTCTTAAACATTACTTTTGATATCCTAGATAAGTACTGTACAGGTACTGTACTCGGTGATAAGATGCCACTACAATTTATCGATCATATTTTCATTTTAAAGATGGTTTAAGAAAGAATGCTTGGTACACGAACCATAAATTTCAGAAACCTACCCTTTTAGCCACTATGGCCTCAGCTTCTTCCACTATATCCAAGCACTTCTGACGAGTGGACTCATTCTCTAGGCATCGCCAGGCCTTAGTTAGCTCTGTAAATTACCCAAGACTTTAAGAATAAATTTAGAAGATATAAAAATATATTTGAATGTACAGTACATGTACCATGCACTGTAAGATTCCAAATCATTCATACAATACTGCAGTAATACCTTCCCATTTCTCATCACTCTTTTGCCTACCCTTAATTGCACATCTCTCTCATATCATACTTCCTTAATTCTAACCACATAATTTACTCATGCAATTCTATATCTTCTTACAAAGGCAAAGTAAAGTTGACTGACCCAACATAATCTTTTCGATGCACAAACCCTCCAAAGGGTGCCCACAGAAATGAAGAGAACACACCATAACCCTTCAAAAATATACCAGTCCCATGGGCAGACATAAATCATGAACATTTACTCCCAATAATCATGAATCAATTAAGCCTGATTTCTGATCTATAAATAATTTTCATGTCCAATAATGGGTCATATACTCTGACTCCTCGAATGTCAATAAAAGAAAAAAAGAAAAGCAGCCTTATTAAGACAGGTTGAATAACTTCCTCTGAAAACGAGTTCCTTCAAACACAAAATTGGCTTAAATTAAATTGTTCAAATCAGCTCACCAAAAAAATTTGATTTGAGCCATACCAACCATCACAACTCTTGGAGAAACATGAACCTGATGGATTGAGTTTAACAATTGAGACCCCAACCCAAAGCAAGGGCTTACGACTTAAAACCGAGTCACTCCAATTAAAAAACTTCATTTGACATTTCAAACCCATACCCCCCCTAACACTGAAGAAGAAACAGTCACTCCTCTATCTCCAGACTTAACAAATTCACTAAATTACAGAAGAAAAAGACAGACAAAATGTAAGAGCCCACAAACTTAACCATGGATAAGTGGAATATCAATAAGCATCTTCTTGGATTGGCCTCTAATATTTCATCCATCATGGAGTGAATACTATTCTGAGTTGTACCTCAGTTTTGTGGGCTTATATCTGGGATGTTGCCTAATGTGTCATCCCAACTGCACTCATTAAGTTGTCAATCCTTACCCGCGTATACTGTACAGTACTGGAAATAACACCCTAGGCATATATTATTAAACAATTAATAAATCACCCAAGTGTAGCAAAGCTGCAGGGAACAAAATTTGAAATCATAATGATGTAATGATATTAATTTCATTTGTGAAACAAACCTATGTTACTGTACCTCTAAGGTGAATATTTATCCTGGGTAAGGATATGGAGTAATCCTGAGCTCTCCCCCCTGTACATGTTAAAACTTATTGTGAAGGTTGAGTGATGAACTGAATCATAAAGCAGTGGCAAAAAAGAAAATCACGTTAAAGTGGATTAAGATGAATAGGTCAGGGGAAATGTTGAATTTACAGTATTTTTGAAAGTGCCTCTGTGTGAAGCAAAGAGTCTGGAGGTAAGTGAAAGAAGCAAATTGAAAGTGACATATATGACCTTCTTGTGAGGAAAGTAGGATGCAGAGAAAGAAACTCAAGAATAAGATGTGTGAGTGGGATGTTGGGTAGTGAGTGAAACACGGTGAGTGACAAAAAAGGAAAAGTGTGAGTGTGTATTTACTCTTTGTTTTTAGCCAGTGCATTATATGCTTTAAAGGGTGGAAAGAATTATAAATTGAACCTCTCTATTAGTTCTTCTCTTACCATCAAATGCTTTTTGAGCTCTCTCTGAATCATCCTGATTTTTGTCTGGATGAACAAGGATGGACATCTGAAAACCACAAATTGTAGTGTTTTTATTTTTTTATGGCTTCATTTACATATACAGTAATTAAAATACTTAAAACTCTACATAATGAATATGAACACAAAATACTGAAAATAACTGCTAAAGTATGACTAAAAAATTAAGATATGAAAACTTCTAAAGTTAAATTGGAGTCCAGGTAACTGTAATTTCTATGGGACATAAGTAGTAATGAGGAACAAAATTGTTCACAGAGTTTAAGTGTTCTCTTGTGTGATACACATTTTCTCAGATATGGGAAATAGTGCAGGTAAAAAAATAAGCCACCTGAAGGTGCAAACCTCATAAATCCATTACTACCTACAGTTAAGAGGAGTGTTCCATTAGCACAATCTACTGGGCCTAAGATTAAGATAAAGGGACAACTGTGTATACACATACACCTTTTGCATTTTAATAAACTGCAATGCACTCGTGCAAACCTTACATATTTAAATGCAGTAAACAGACTTTAAAATGGTATGGTAATTCAAGAAAGTTCAAAATTGACAAAAAATTATTAATATTATTATACAGTACAATATATTAATTGTATTAAGTTATGATTAGAGACAGACACACTCAATTTTTTGTTCACTAAATCCTCCCTTCAGCTGAAGTGTAAAAATACTTACTGGATCATATACAGCAACAAACTTTCTCTTACAAAATTTCAGTACAGGTAAAAGTCATTATAATACACACCAACAAAAAAACATACCCTCCTAAATTTTTTCTTGATATCATCGATGGGAGTCCTTGGGTCCACCTGCAATACTTCAAATGGGTTCAGGTTGGCATATGAAGCGCCTGGTCGTAAGAGGCGGTCAATTTGTTGCTTTGATGTCAGCACTGAATCTCTCTTTTCAGTTTCTTTGAGCTGGAAAAATTAAGAACTGCAATTATAACATGAATAGACTAATCAATCGATATCATTTGGTAGATAATGATAACTCAAAGAAAAGTAATAGCAAAATCTAAATGATAGAAGATTAGTGGTATTTTTCAAAATCTATTTTCAAAATCAAATAAACCAAGTGAATATATGCAACTTAGCAACTTAAGTTTACAGAATTTATATAGTACAGTAATAATGAATCTTGCAACCAAGGAAATTTAAGCCTGCTAATACCGTAGGCCTATAAGAATCTTTTTATACATTGCACCTCTTAAGGAAACTCTTGAAAATACCGAATTTGGGCAAAATCCAATTATAGTTTACACTAATATCCAAAAGAGTAAGCAGGTACTGTACTGGGTAATTGCATTGTTGGATACTTGATGCTGAAGCAGGTTAAGCAGTGTAAAAATTATCCAGTTTTAAAAATATATGAAGTACTGTACAAATACTGTAGTTACATTTACAGTAAAGTACAGTATATACACAGTACAGGGGGTCCCCAACTTACGAACATCTGACTTACGAACACCCACCGATACGAACGAGGTCCCATAAGGTCAATTAGTTTAAGAATCAGACATAAGTACAACTGGTTACTGTACAGTCTTTACTTATTAGAAGTAGTTTGCGTGGCGTAGAGGTGAGGTGGAGCAGCATGTGGGAAGTGATGTGTCGCGCCCAGCCAAACTCCTTGAGGAAGTGTCAGCACGCTTTACCTTCACTGCATTAACAATAATAATAATAATAATAATAATAAGCGGTTTATTAATAGAGTTGCAGCCGGTGGCTGAAATTATACAAACTTACATTTGATTTAGACATAATGATATGCGTTAAATACATTTACAGGGCTGTACAGTACATAAATCAGGAGTTGTTTATTATTTTAACAATAGATGGGATGGTGCTATTCATATATCTATCAGTGCGGGCTCTTATGGGCTGAATTTTGTTGTAGTGGTGGACTGCCGGTGGCAGGAGGTGGCGATGAAAAGGATGGTGCAGTAGTCCACTGGCAAACCTTGCTAGTGCTTGGTGGTGGAGGTCACTGAGGGATGGCATTTCCAGGGTGGAGAGAGCGTTGTTGTAGCCGGAGTAGTCTGCGCCGAGCATGATTCTGCAAGCCCTTTTCTGTACCTTCTCTAAACGACGTTGTTGGGTAGAGTTGAGAGAAGACGACCAGGCTGGTGATGCATACGTCAGTTTGGGGAGAATAAAGGCGTTGTAGACAGTCCTCAGCTCTGGCCTAAGTCGTTGTAACATGTAGTCGGAACGAGGCTGCCTTGATTGTGTTGTTTACATGGGCCTTCCAGTCCAGTTTGTGGTCTATGGTAACACCCAGGGGTTTGGCAGACTGCACCAACTGGAGAGGATGGGCACCCACTATGATTGCTGGAGCTTGCACTGGAGTGGTGGCAGTATTGATGTGCATGACTACGGTTTTGATGTGGTTGATGGTGACCTTGTTCGCCGTAGTCCATGCCTATAGCCTGTCCAGGGTGCCTTGTAGCGATGAGTAGTCCGGTGAGGTGTTGTCCACTGTAACCCCCACAGTGCAGTCATCCACATACTTCCACCTGTGATGAGTGTCCGATAGAGCGTCGTTGATCAGGATCAGGAAGCACAGTGGTCCCATCTTGGTCCCCTGGGGAACACCGCAGGTGAGGTGTTGGAATGTGGAGACAGAACCCTGGTACCTCACTGCCTGACGACGTTCACTCAAGAAATCGGTGAGCCATGAGACCAGGTTGGTGGGCAGCCCTAGGGCAATGGCCTTGTTTATAACAGTGCAGTGATCAACAAGGTCAAAAACCTTCCTAAAGCCAATAAGGGCAACGACCAGTGATGACTTACGTTCCTGTAAGTTTTTGCACAGGAAATCCAGGAAACTAACTAAGCAGTGTGATGTAGAGGAGGTCCTCATATTACCAAATTGCTGTGGATCAATTGACTGATAAATTATAGCAAATGCCCACTCAAAAAAGAAGTCTTCACAGAGTAGACTGGGCATGGGGGTAATGGCAACTGGCCTGAGGTCGTTAGGGGACTGTGGGGTGGTGACCTTGGGGTTAGGGGTGACAAATGCAGTTTTCCATTCATTAGGGCATTTGCTTTGTCTGAGGGATGCATTAATAATAGAACAGAGGGGGGTGGCAAGTTTGACTGCAAACTCCTTGTAAATTTTGATTGGGAGGTCAATTGGGGTTGTGGAGTGTTTTGATTTAAATTTCAGGAGTTTGTTGGCGATTTCAAATGGTTGAACACTGGGAGGGGGGGAGGGGGAAGGTAAGTAAGCCGGAAGGAGAGTCAGGTCAAGACTGGGTAGGGTATGACATATGGTAGCAAAGTGGTTATTAATTATCTCAGCTGCCTCCTCACTAGGTAAATGTGAGATGAAAGGAAGTGTGGGAGACTGACAGTTAAGACCACAGAGATCTTTTACCTTTGAGTACCACTGACCGTGCACTTTCCTGGGATAATAAGACTTCTTGGCTAACTTGATTTCCCTGATGACCTGATTACTTAGACTTTTGTACAGGCGGTTGTTGGTGTAGTATGCCTTGTTGCGCTGCTCAATTAGTCATTTGATACGGGGTGCATTCCACGGGACATTATCGGGGTGGATCCTCAGTGTCTTGGCTGGAAAAAAGTGGTGGTAGGCTTTGGTGATAGTGTCCAGGTAATTATCCCACTTGTTCTGCACATCGTCTAACATGATAACTTCAGTCCAGGGATACCGGGTCACCCATTGTCCGAAACGCTGCATGGCAGAGTCAAGGGTGGGTCGGTAAGTCCTGGTGACACCTGGCGGTCGTGAGATGGTAGGTGTACGTGACCACAGTAGAGACAGGTGGGGGCTATGTCCCATGGGAGGCAGCGGCTGGGGGGGAAGGTAGTGGTTGCCGAGATCAGTCATGATGAGGTCCAGGGTGGCATTCCCATGTGAAGGAAAGTCAACTATTTGTGCAAGGTGGAGGTGTTGGGTGATGTTACTGATGTCTAACTCATTAAAGTCACCGCATATCACTAGTTTAGCACATGGAAATCTGGATCTCAGGGAGTCAGCAGTGTCTATTATATGAGTAATCAGTACATTGGCAGTTGGTGCATGGGGGTGATAACAAACACAAACAATGAGGAGGCAAGCTGGCGGAGTGGGAGGTGGGAGTGACCTGAACTCATAAAGCTTTTTTTTTTTAACGGGGATTAGCCCACCCGGGCATCAGGGCCTGGGGGGCGAAAATATAATAATAAATAATAATTATAATACATGTAATAATAATAATAATAATAATAATAATACTAATAATAATAATATTATTATTATTATTATTATTACAACAATTAATAATAATAATAATAATATCTATTATTATTATTATTACAACTATTAGTAAAATTAATAGCAAATTAATAAAAATAAAAAATAATAAAAATAATAACCATAAATAAATAAAAAATAAAAAAAATAAATCAAGAGTGAGAAATTATATACATTATATATGTTGTGTTGTCCAAGTAAGAGAAACAATTGAGACCCTGCAATTGTGTGTAAATGAGGCAGAAAGTCACTTCAGCAACCTGGGACTTGGTCACAATTTTCGTGATGCCATATGGCAGCAGGGTCTACCATTAGACAACACATTATGCTTCCAATATCTTCCAAGCCGGAAGTACCTTCCTGTTTGGTAGCTGCCTATCTACCTACTACCTACATCCTCAGGTACATTAACACCTAGGTGTGATGGTTTAAGGTCACTGCGACAGTACAGCACTACACCCCCATCTCTCCTGTCCTTTCTAAGGTGGTAAATAACTCATAGTTTTCTATGGCACAGATCTCAGGAACAATTTGTCACGCCTCGGTAATTGCCACAATACCTGCACCAACTGACTTCACTGTGACATTGACCTCCTCCACCTTGTTGCATAAAGATGTAACATTGGACAGCAATAGGGATGGTAGGCTGTACCATAGTCGCGGCACTTCATAGCTAGCACACTGTCTTGCAGGCACTGGCTTGACTCTCTTATGCTTGCTCGACATGATGATAGGGATCCGTCTGGGAATGCGGTGACCCCGTCTGCAGCCGCGGTTGTGAAAGATTCTCAGCGCCTTTAGTAGAGTGATGGTGTGGGGTGGAGGATAGCCAGCACCAGACTTCAGCCGAAACAGGTCGGTGCGACGATATCATGGCACTGGAACGCACATATTCACAAGTCTAGCACTCACAGACCTTGAAAATATGCACTGTCTTCCCGTAAAAATACTGAACTGCCTTAAATTAGCTACATGTCGACGTGATGACATTGGCTGCTGCAGAGCGCCAGGAGACACGTCCTCACTCAGTGAGGTCACTAGCATGTGATCATGTGCAAACAATTGTTTTTTGCTTATTAACTCTCTTTTTTCTGCCCTCATCACGGCTCCCAAATGCAAACCTGTTGCAAGTGAGAGTAGTGCATCCAAGAAAATGAAAACAATTACAATGGAAGTTAAAGTTGATTTAATTAAACATTCTGAAAAAGGCAAAACACCCTCAGTGATTGGTAAAGCGTTGGGCTTCAGTTGGTCAATGATCGGAACAATTTTGAAAGACAGAGAAAACTCTTGAATATGTAAAAGGATCTACACCAATGCACTCAACTGTGATAACAAAACAAAGAAGTGGATTGTTAGCGATATGAGTGGAAGATCAAAATCAAAGGCACTTGCCTGTAAGTTTAGTCTTGATTCAGGAAAAAGTGAGAAGCTTACATGCAGACTTGAAGGCTAAACATGGTGGTTAAAGTGATGGGGAAGATTTTGTCGCTAGTAGGGGCTGGTTTAACCGGTTCAAGGCAAGGGCAAACTTACATAACATTAAAGTGCAAGGTGAAGCAGCTAGTGCAGATGAAGCTATACAGTAAGTGAATTTCCTGCTGCTTTAGGTAAAATAATTGAAGAAAGGGGTTATTGGGCTGAGCAAGTTTTTAAT